TTTTCATAAATCAGAAGATAAAGCCGCATTTCCAGGAAAATTCTGATTTTTTTTTCCTACAGAGATTTGACTCACAGCTGCAGAATGTTCAATTGAAGGCCTTGGCTCATGGGGCAAACTGTTCAATGCATCTGCCAACACTGCTGGCCTTTGGGGGAACAGGTGAGCACAATCCAGTACCTGCTTGCAGCAGCTTATGGTCTTGTGGACAGAGTGGATTTGCTGTGCCAGTATGTGACCAACACTGAACTTGTAGTTCCAGGAGGTCCTGATGTATGACCTGGAGAAGAGGGCTGAATTTCAGGCAGAGAGTGAGCAGGGAGCAAGTAGCTCAGTCCTCAGTAGCATGGAGCAAAGGGTGACAGAGGAGTGCCAGCCGAGGGGAAACTCCTGCAGGGCACAGTAGCACACACCTTAATCTCAACACCCAGGAGGCACAAACAGGCAAGTCTCTGTGAGTTTGATGTCTGCCTGGTTCACATAGTAAGGTCCAGGCCAGGAGTACACATGAAATCTTGTCTTTCTTTCTTTCTTTTTTTTTTTTTTTAAATCAAACTCCTGAAAAGACATTGATGCTACCCTAAGGAGATGAACTTACCTTGGATGGACAGGAAAGCCCTGATGTAATAATAAAAGGGCGGGACAGAAAGCTGATGCCAGGAGAATGTAACTCAGCTAATGCTTGACTAACATGCATGAGTCCTGGGTCCAAGTCCCTATATTGCAGACACCAGAGATGGTGGCACACACCTATGATCCCAGGACTAAGGAGGTAAAAACAGAAGAATCATACGTTTAAGGTCATCATTGGCTACATGGGAAGTTCAAGGATAGCCTGGGATATATGAGAGCCTCAGGGGCTAACAGACACAAGACCTGGTCTGCCATCCACAGAGAGACAATGAAAGCAGCTCCAATGCCAAGCACCATTACTAGAGTAGCAGCAACAGGACGGAGTGACTCCATAGATATGAGAAATTGAAGAATAGAAACATCTCAAGTTTGTGGTGCTCATGGAGCAGGAGACATTCTCTGAGATGGTAAGACAGAGAAGGACACATCTAATAGAGAAATAATGGGTTCAGACACGGGCACATTGAGTTGGAAGCAGCCGCAAGTCATCACTACGGAAATGTCCAGTGGGCAGAGACAGCCTCACTGAAAATGCAGTCAAAATCCTGGCTTGGTGGTGCATGCCCTTAATCCCAGCACTCTTGAGGCAGAGGCAGGAAGATCTCTGTGAGTTCAAGGCCAGCCTGATCTACAAGAGCTACTTCCAGGACAGCTAGGGCTGTTGCATAGAGAAACCCTGTCTAGAAAACGGCCTGGATGATTCAGCCCTGAGAAAAATGAGTGGCATGAGAAGAGGACTCAGGGAGAATGCAAAAACCATTGACCTTTGGAGAAGCAGGATGAATGAACAGTAGAGAGGCAGGATGGGAATCAGGAAGGCAGAGCCGTGCCTCTTCCACGGAAGACACGGCTCGGGGAGCAAGCAGAATCTCCAGGCTCAGGAACCACAATGCCATCACCTTGAACAAAAGAAGAAAAATACCTGCTGGTCTTGGCAAGAACAAAATTCTGCTGGGTGAGGCTGACTCCAGTTCTGCAATGCTACAGATGGGTCAGAAGGGCTCGGGAGCAAGCGGGGTGTACAGAGCCAGGGTAGTGGGCTGGGAACTCTTGAGAAGCTAGTTGGGGAGATTATGACGGACAGTAAATGGCGGGAATGTCTTGGGGTGTGCATTTCCCAAAATGAGCCTCACTGTTGTTTAGCCAAAGAGGGCTAGATGGGACCCTGTCAGTCTGAAGACTCATACGTGCCTCTCTCTAAACATTTACCGTAAGTTTGGCGTGGATCCTTTCATTCCCAACATTGTTTTCAGGAAAATTTCCAGATCCCAGTACCAACACCACTAATATGTACTGACTGCACGCTAAGGGCTGTGCTGAGTACTATCCGTGGACTATCTTACTTATTCTCAGAGAGGTTATCAGGAAACTATTGACAAAGAGGGAAACTGGGGCTTGGGAACTGTGATTTGGTCGCACAGTTAATAGAAAGTGGACATTTGGAATGTCATTCCCCTACTTAGAGACGGGGTGCCCACTGGCCTGGCAACCACCCGGTTACACTAGGCTGGCTGCCCAGTGGGCAAATCTCTGCCACTGCAGCATTGGGATTACACATACGAGCCACCATGTCTGGCTTTCGGGTCCTCATGCTCGCATTACAAGCATTTTCAGTACTCTGAGCCATTTCCCCATCCCTACTTTGCCCATTTTATAGACAAAGAAAACCCAGGTCACACAGCTAGCAAATGGAATACCTGGACCCAAACCCAAGGTGGCCTGATACAGTAACTTCCCAAGTCCTCATGCTTCCAGCCATGGCCATAGGCAGCTGCTCCTCGTCCTTTGACCTCAGGAACTTTGGGTGATCCACTAGGTGGGATGAATAATAGAAGTGTTGTAGGAGGGTAAGATGTAGCTTGCAGGAATAAAGAAGAGGGACAAAAGCCAAGGTCATGAGGACCATAGCTTGGAGTCAAGGCTGCCAACACCCTCTCTACACTCCTCTCTCTCGCTCTGCCTGGCTTTCTACAGTGGGTAGGAAAGATGCCCACAGCATCTAGCATGCATCTAAACAGGAAGAAACACTCTTCCTCCTATCATTAACACATACGTGGGAAGGAGTCTGGTTGGTACTATGCCCACACCTTGGACCAATCATTGTGGCTGGAGGATGGAGGTCTATGGTTGGTGTCATCTGAGTCCCATGTCTGCCTGATGGCAGTAGAGCAGGGATGGATAAAATTTTAACTGACAACCTACCATGAATATGTGACAATAGAGAGACATTTCCCAAAGGAAGAGGATGTCAGAAGTGAGGTGATGGAAATCAGGGAAGAGCAGAAGGAGCCACTAGCTGTCACCGTCCATTTGAGAGCCAGGAAGGACACACACAAACATCCCCACGTGGAGTTCACAGCCTTCAAGAGAAACACAGTTACAGACATGACGACATTAATAAGAGCTGATATTATCTACCATCTCTGAGCATCTACAGGGGCCTGGCGCTATCCCGGAAAGTGGGTACTGCTGTTACTCCACTTTTGTCTAAGAGACAGTAAAACAAACAACAATCTCCCCACCCCTCTGCCCTATACTAGGCAATTCAGAAAAATATAAAAATGTTTATGGGTCCCTTATCCCCACTCACAAAGGATAAATGACTTGCTTGGGGTCACACAGCTAGCACACAAAAACATACTGGGAAGTATTTGGTTAAGGGCAAAACAAAGCTACTGTAGACTAAGGATTAGAGAAGACTACCTAGAAGTGGAGGAGGTAGTGGGGGGACCAACGCTGAGCCTGGAGGATGGAACATCTGGCTGAGTATACAGGGAAGTGAGAGCGGTCATCCCCCCAAACTCAGGGAAGCAAGTCTGAACACTCGCACATCTGTCTGGTCCCTCCGTGCTATGGCGGATCTTTCAAGACTTCCACTCAGAAACACCTTCTCTGAGTCTGCTCTTCTCAGTTGACTCCAGTCAGCCCAACCATCTTCACGGGATTTGTACACTGGCCCCTGCATATTCTGTCCTGGTGCCTCCTGTTGAGCCCGGCTATGGATGGGTGCTAGGCATAGTTTGAGCCACAGCAAAGACAAAAGAAATATCACCTCCCCTTTCCCATGCACTGAATTTCCTAATGAGAGCCAAGATCAGTTAGTAGGTATTAATCTGAAACCTCACAGGCTCTCGACACTCCCAAGTCCAGTGCATCACCCCTACTGTGGCCGAATGCAGATAGTTCCAAGCCTAAGATGAGACTCATTTCACTGTTTCGAGCTTAGTTCATCCTTGGTACTGGCTGTCCCCCAGCATCATAGCTTCTGTAGACGCAGGGTTGGGACTGTGTGACTTCCATGCCATGGTCTTGATGTATTGACTCTGGACTCAATGGACTCTAGATAAAATGTCCTTGTGCTACTGAGTGCAGTTTGTCACAAATTTAAGCTTACCTCTTGGGTGAACCTGTCCCCAGCCCAGACAGCTAGGTACCATCAAAAGGCAATAGAGGAGGAACTTCTTGGTGCTTTTTTATATGGGAACATAATATAATCTCTGAGAGGACTCAGAGGCCAAGTTAAACTATTAATACCTATACCACCATAACTGTACTGAAACCTGGATCCCTTGAACCACCTTAAAATTCCATCCAGTTCCCAGCCCTCCCTGCCTCTTTGATTAAGGGCCTCGACTTCCTGTCTGTCCACCTTTTGAAATGTCTTCCTCACCAGCCATTCAGTCTTAAATCCCAACAATTTGGATCTTGTCATTCCCTACTCACCCACCTACACACAGAGCAAATTGTCCCTGCCAGTCACCAATTGCCTCCTAACTGTGAAGGCCAAACAACACTTTCCTTCCTGCCTTCTCATCTTTGACACTGTTGTGTCCAGCCTCTCTGTGCTGGGGAGCTCAGAGCCTCTCTATGAAGGGTCCACAACTCCATTCCCTGGGCTCTGTTCCTACCTCCCTGATTGCTACTTCCCTTTCTCACTCCTGGGCTCTTCCAAGCCACCAGCCTGGTTCTGAAGCTGCTAACGTTTCTTCTGCACAGCTAACCTTCTCTGAGGATGAGCCAAACCCACGACCACAAGCCCAGCACTGTCAAGCCCCAGCCCTTCTAAGAACAGAGATCTATTTTCCTTCTCTGCATGGCCTAAACTTCTGCTCTTCATGCCAGACCACCCAGATATACAACAACCATTGACTCAGCCTCTCCTGAGCCCTTTTTTCCACCCACCTTCCCCCTTGGGTAGCTGATGCCCTCTTCTCCCAGGTCACAGTCACCCAGACTCCTACTTCTCTGTTAAGATTCAGCTCAAGGACTGCTTTCCTGGGAAAACCCTTTAGGGGTGGGGGACGAGGGGCTGGCCTGTGCTTCTTACTCAGCACCCCATACCTGCCACGTTACCAAAGCTTCTAGAACTTGCCTGTGTTCTGCATGCACCACCCTTCGGTTTGCTCAAGAATGCCCTCTTGGGTTACTTTTCTTCCTCAGCAGAGCTAGTAGGGATCAAGGCCCGCTGAAGGCCCTGAAAGAAACAACAACAAAACCAACAAAACAAAACAAATAAACAAAAAACTGTTGAGAACTTGGATGAAGAACAAGGGGAACCGAACCACCAAAAACAAACAAACAAACAAAAACAGTATTTACCAACCCCTTCCTCTCAACCAGGGTGTGACACACAAATAGGCGTTCAGTAAAGGTTGGTTGGATTCTATTTACTGAACTGACACAAGATTTGGGGCAGTTTGCGGTGAGGAATGATGGCAGAGGAGGGAAAGAGACTGAAGGGGAAGCCCGGGGCGCACCGCAGTGGGCGAAGGAGGGCCAAGAGATTGTGTGAAAGAGAGGAGAGGGAACTTGGAGTCAAGTCCCGGGCTCCGTGTGCCCCAGGCTGCGGGCGGCAACCAGGCTAAGCCCTCCTCCAGCCCCGCCAGCGCCCAGTTCTTCCGGCACCCTGGGGTGGCGAGACCCCCCGGCTCGCGCGCTCGGCTCCGGGCGCTGGGAGGCGTGTGTGTCGCTTTAAAAGCTCCCTCCCGGCGCGCGGGGCCGGCCCCTTCCCTGCCAGCGCCGAAGCGAGCGGAGCCGCGCGAGCCCGGCGGCCTTTGAGGGAGCCAGCGCCCGCCCGGGCGGCCAGTCCGGCGGGGCGCGGCGGCGCTCGGGGGAAACCCGCCAGGCCCGCGGAGCCGGGAGGGTAGCGCAGAGTAGGGCGAAAGCGAGGCAGCCCGGGAGAGAGGCCCGAGCCGCCTCGGTCCCTCCTTTGCCCCATCGGCAGCCACCGGGCGCTCGGGGCCGCGAGGCGCGGAGCCGTGAGCGAGCGCGCAGGAGGCGGTGGAGCCTAGCGGAGGCTGCGCGCCCCGTGTGCCCGGCCGGGCCCGCCGCGCCTCCTCCATCGCCTCCCTGGTGCCTCGCTCACCCCCTCTGCTTCCCTTTGCTTCTTCTGCTCAGCCCCGCCGTGCCGAGATCCCTAGACCTCGTGCGCTCATCTCGGCAGTGCTGGACACCGGTCCCCCAGACCACCGCCGCCGCCCCTCCCCCGGGACTCGAAGGAATCCGGACTTTCCTCATCGTGGATCGAGACGACTGCCGGCTAGGCTGAGCGGGTTCTCCGGCCGCTCCGGACGCCGCCCGGGCCGGAGCACAGACATTCTGGGTCCTGACTGAGTGCACCTCGGACGCCTGTCAGTGCCAGCTCGAAAAGGGCAAGGCAAGCCAGGGGCAGGACAGACCCCGGAGGGGCCCCAGACCCGCCGAACTGGACTGGACAGAGAGAATCGAGAACCCTGCGGAGCCCGGGGAATGCCGGGCGTGGGCTGAGGGGATCCCGGCGCCCTCCCCAGCCCTCCGACTTTGGCTCAGTCGCCCGGACCGGACCGGCGTCTCCTCGGCCCGGGTCACCTGTGGCCTCGGGGCCCCCGAGCCCACCGGACCCTTGCAACCCGGAGCCTGGCGGGCGTGGTGGGAGATTTTTCCTGCCCCCTTCCCCGGAGTGCAGAGGCCCCGCCCCCTCCCACCGCCCAGATGTCTCCGGTCACAGCTCGTAGGACCTTCCTGAGGCCAGGAGCCGAAGGGTCCAGAGAGAGAAGTCCGCCCTAGGGGAGCCTTGGGGGCCCCCAACCTCGTCTTGGGGCTCGGCCCCCGACGCTGCTTGGAGGAAAGACCGGTGCCCCCATCCTCTGTAAGTCGGGGAGTCCAGCTTCCGAGGGAAGGCGGGGCTGGGGGAGGAAGAGTCCGCTGGGAAGGAGGGCACCCTGTGGGCATTGAAAGAAGGATGGAGGACTGGAGAGGCCCTGTGCTGAACCAGTCTGGCTAAGCTTGGTTGGTGGCTTGGGGGGGGGGGGGGGTAGAAACGATCATAGCTAGAGTGCCCCAGAGGAGGCTGAAGACTTATGCCTCTAAACCAGGGGCTCCTCCGCTCTTCCTATAGAAGAGGGGTGCGCTAGAAACCATCTGCCTCCACCATCCCTCCCCACAAACAAAAATAAATAAATAAATCTCCAGCGAGGAAGGAGGGTGCAGGCAAGGGAGAAGAGGGAGGCAGCAGCAGCAGGCTGGTGCAGCAGCCTGGGAGGGCTGACGCCAGGCTCGCTCTTTCTGCAGGGGGCTGCCCTCCTCCAATCCAGGTCCCTCTCCAGCGCTGTTCACATCTGGAGCCCCCTCCACATCTGGAAGACCCTGACCACCGTCCCTTTGCAGGTTCAGCTGCGTCTAGAGACCTCTGCCTTTATAACTGCCTAGGAGTTGCGAGGGGATTGCTGCCTTCCCCCATCCCAAGGGCATCTCTTACCCTAGTCCTTGCAGAATCATCCCCCTGCCTCCACACCCAGATTCAGGCAAAGATCAGCTTTGTACACCACAGGCTCTTCAAGTCCTGGAAGCTGTTCTTGGGCCCTAAGGTCCCTCCCCTTGCCCTCTTGTGTCCTCACCTTGACCCCCCCCCATCAGACTCTGTCTCCCTCTGGGTGCTCCATCCCCCACCCAGAGGCAGAGTAGGTCGAGTGGCAGGCTGCAGGGGCTGGGTGAGGGCCGCCCAAGGCCAGGGTAGGCTGGGGGGCCGTTAAAATGTGGAGCTCTGCCCGGCCGAGGGAGGCTCCGTGGAGGCAGGCAAAGCGTGTGCCCCGCTGGGGCGAGTATGGGCAGGCTTGCGGCCACGTGGTGAAGGATGAACATTCGGGGTGCCCCAGACCTCGGGCAGCCCAGTGACAACCCCAACAGTGGTGGAGAGAGAGAGCGGATTCGACAGCGTATGAAGATGGTCATCGGGCAACTTGAAGGCATCCTGAAGGAACTCAAAGAAGTGGCTAAGGAGCTGAGGGAGGTGAGTGAGAGGCAGGGGTGGGGAGGGATGGGGGCACACAGACCTCAGCCCTGTCTGGCTGGGCTCAGCATCAAAACATGTATGTGTGTTTGCGTGTGCAATGCTATGTGCACATGGCATATTCCACAGAGGCCCACCCTTCTCATTCTTTCTTCAAGTCTGTTTTGCTAAAAATCACTGTCCCCAGAGCTGGTGGGGCCTTCGTGTGGTGGTGACTGTTTGAGCAGGTGCCAATGGGCCCAGCTCCATAGTTAGCACTCAGGGTGCCCAATGAGGACTAAATCTGCCCCTCTCCACTCTTAGTGGGACACATTCTTCTAAAACCCAAACTGTCCTTTGACCCCACTACTTACCTCCCAGACTCTAAGCAAGGGCTCTAGGAGCATGTGGATGGCTCACCTTAACTGATCCCCGCTGCTTGAGGCCCAGCTCGAAAAGTATTGCTTCCAGGGCCACACAGATACTCCAAACCTTAATTTCCAAAAGGGGAGAGGGGTTACAAGCAGTTGTGGCCTCCCTGTCTTAGGATGAGGATATGGCTGGAAAATGTGGGGGGATCAGAGGTCCTGTACACTGAAGAAGAGCTCTTTTATGCATATGTGACCCCCCCCCCAAGGCATGCTTCTGGATGGTTTTTGCAAAGACCAGAAAGTCACCAAGAAGCCCTCTCTGGCTTTCTAATCGGAGCCCAGTTTAATTACTGCTTCCCACATTGCTGGAGTAATGAGGTACACATGTCTTCCACCCTGCCCCCTGGGCAGTGTTCAAGTCCAAAATGCATGACCAGCGTTCTGAGCCGCTGGCCTGAATTTGCCCGCTGGGTCCCATTTCAACAGCCAGGTGGGCTTTAGGCAACTTCCAACTCCTTGTAACCAGGGCCCCTGCAGAGACAGAAGCAGAATGGATCATTCTGAGTTATGAGCCCCAGCTTCCCCACCAGCTGCGTATCCCGGGAGAGAGGGCTGTAGAAGGCTATGGAGATGGGGCAGGCTGTGAGCAGTGTGGCTTTCCACCCTGGCCTGAATTCAAGGCATGGAGAGGGGCTCCTTCTTTGAAGAGAGCTGTGACTTGGAGGGTGACAGAGATGCCAGGCCTGTTAGAGTAGACCTTGAGGGTCCAAGGTCTGCCTCATGAGACCTGCCAGGGGGTCCTGTCTCCAGATGTGGGGATGGTGGACGTTTCAGGCAGGCAGAGGTGGTGGTGCTCCTGCCCGTATGCTAGGCTGGTATGGTCTGGACTCCATAATACAATTTGGAAACCAAAGGCCACAGGTCCCTGAACACCCCTTCCTCTGACCTCATGAGTCCAAAGTATTAGGTTGTCCTCTCCTGCCCTGTCTTATTCTGGATCCTCTGTGGTTTAATAGGGGCCTTGAGAACTATCCAAAGTCTTGGCCTCAGGCAGGATCATGGGACCCAACCAGAGCTGGTATTGTGCATAATCCTGGAAGTCAGCCTTGGTACAACTCCCAGTGGGGCAGGCCTTTGCCTCTTCTCCCTTGGCATAATGATCCAGAACTTAAAGGGATCTCACAAGTAGTCCACGCAAACCCTGTCCACTTCCTGTGGAAGAAACTGGGGTCCGGAGAGGAATAGGGGCTTACCCAAGGCTACACAACCCACCCATGACAGAATTGAGTCTGGAACTCAAGATTCCCAGTGCCTATTTGAAGCTTCAGCAGGTGGGCTATTGTGTAATCTCAGCATTTTGACAGGAGCTTCCAAAGATGCTTGATGCTTGTGATTTGACGCCCAAGTGCCAGGGTTAATTTGTGGAGCTTTTAAATGCCCCCATCTTTTCTTTCATACTCACTGATTCCCGCGCCTCTCACCCCAGAGCTCCAGGTGACAGTCTGCACACACCAGAGGTCTGAACCAGGAGAAAGTGATGAGTCCCCTCCCCCACATCTGTAGGCCATGTGTCTCCACCCAAGACTTTGGCAGGTTGCTATGGAAACCAGAGTCTACCCCGTATGCCACTGCCTGCCCGCTGCCAATGGTACCCAGCTGGGTGGGGGGTTGAGCCTCAGAGCTCCCTAGTCCCCCAGAAAGGGGATGTGTACATAGGGTGATAGACAGAGAGGAAGGGAGACCCGAGCAGAAGAGCTGTCATAACCAACTTTCTCTGGGCTGGGGTTTGTTGGGGACAGGAGTATCTGTGGATATCAGGTCCTCGCTTCAAACTTGTGATGTAGCTCTAGGTCCTTCAGAAGGACATAAAGCTGATCTGTCTCTCTCCACTCAGGCCCTTTGTGGTGTTTCGCCATCAGGGCTATGGGGAGGCCCATGGTAAAGTGAACAAGCCCCTATTCCCGCATCATACCCGACTCCCTGGGCAGCACCTGCTCGGTCCCGCCAGCTCAGACCAAATTCTTTAGTATGGAGACTAGAGTTACACACAGGGTTGGCAGGGATGCTGTTCAGGAACCTTGTTGAAGGAGCTAGGCAGCAAAGAGCAGGCTCTGCCATTCTCTGTCCTCCCTTCACCATCCTCCCCCTGCCTGACACCTCTGATCCCAGAAGACACCCCAAACACACACACACACACACACACACACACACACACACTCCTGAGCTCAAAGCCTGAAACTAACCAGAAAATGAAAACCACCAAAGCCTAGGGCTCCCTGAGTCTCCCTTTGCTCCTCTCTGAATGGGGCTGTGGATGGGGAGGATGAGGAGGAGTTATCCCTTCCAGTGATGCTGCAATGTTTTTGGAAGCTTCGCATGAAGGAGGAGGGCCGATACTTTCTCACACTTCCAGAGGATTTGGAGTTCCCTCTCCCCATCCTCCCAGCCCGCACTTCAGCTCCCTGGGTCGGGGGTGGGGACAAAGGGAGGTAAGGATGGCAAACACACTGTGAAAGCTGAAGCTGAGCTGCCCAGGGATGCGGCATGACAGTCAGACATTAATTAGCCCTCATTTCTCCCAGGCTCCCCAATACCACAGGATGCCAGGCCAATCACAGCAGGCTCCCTAAGCTCCCCGGATTCCATGGATCTCAGTTAGAGACATAGACCATCCCAAGGGAAAGGAGCACATGCCAGGCAGCCAGAGATTTCTGGTTCAGTCCTT